AAAAAAAAAAAAAAACCAAGCCGGGGCTGGGAATGTAGCTCAGTGGCACTGTGCCTGCCTGGCAAGCACAAGGTCCTGTGTTTGATCCCTTGTAACACACACACAAACACACACACACAACTCAAGCTATATATGTCATTTAAAGCTTCTGCTAGCCACAATTTATTTATTTATTATGCGCTTTTAGGGATTAAACTTGGGGCTTTTGCATGCTAGGCAAGTGCTGTGCCACTAAGTTATATCCCCAGCCCTCTGCTTTTTATTTTGAGGCAGGATCTCACTGCGGAGCCCAGGCTGGCTTCAGGTTTGAGCCATTCCTCCTGCCTCAGCCTCCCATATGCTAGGATTACAGGCTTGCATCACCAAGCTTGGCTCTATTTATGTATATGTGTGTTGCTGGGGATTGAACCCAAGGTCTCACGCATGCTAGACAAGTATTCTACTACTGAGCTACATGCTCAGCCCTTCTTTCTTTCATTAGCATGTGTTTGTGATACATAATGATTACATTCATCATGGGGATTTGGTACATATACATAAGTCATCTTAATTGTTCTCCTCTCCTCCATCCCACCCCAGCCTCTCTTTTGAATTGTGGCTTTTTAAAAAGTGCCCACAGGGCTGGGGATTTAGCTTACTGGTTTCACTGCCTGCCTCACAAGCATAAGGACCTGAGTTCGATCCCCAGTACCTCCCAAAAATTAAAAAAAAAAAAAATTAAAAATGCCCATGACAAAATTAACCATCTCAACCATTTTTAATTATGTTCAATACGGTTAAATATTTCTGATTGGCCATTTTATTTATACTCCAACATTTCTGCCCAGGACCAATTTTTTTTGCCCCCCATATCAGGGAGCCAACCCAGGTCCTTGTGCTTTCAAGTCAGGTGGCAGAACCACTGAGCTAAATCCCCAGCCCTAATAGTATTAAATATATTCATCGGGTTGTGCAACTAATTTCCATCTTGCAAAATGAAAACTCGGTGCCCACTCAGCGGCTCTGCACTATGCCCTTCCCGTTGTGGATCACTGCTGTGGCGGCTCACTGGCCACGGACTATACTGAGGAGCTAGGGGGGTGCATTCCCCGCCCAAGGTCTCCTGTGCCGCAGGAATGGGCACGAAGTGCCAGGGTTTTCTGGTGGGGGAAGTCGGGCGGGGAGTGGTTTCTAATGAAGAAGGCTGGCAAATGGGGCCGGGGAACTTCCGGGAAGGGGTCTGAGGGGCTCTTGCTTGGCAGAGGGTGTCCCCCGATACCCGAGCGCCCACCCGCTTTGTGGACGACGAGGAGCTGGCATACGTGATCCAGCGGTACCGGGAGGTGCACGACATGCTGCATACCCTGCTGGGGATGCCCACCAACATCCTGGGTAAGAGCTGGGGAGGGCATGGCAGCGTGCCGGTGCGCTAGCCCGCTGTGTCCCCCGGCTCTGCAGGCCAGCGCCGGGCTCACTCTGCACCTTGCCGCCGCCAGCTGGCTCAGTGTCTGCATTACTTTCTACTTCATGTACCATCATCCCCTCTTCTCTGCCCCGTGCCCCTTTGTGCTGCCTACACTGATGTCACAGCGTGCAGACACCGGGTTCCCTCCCTTGTTGGGGCCTTCAGCTGCCTTCCTGCTTGCAGACCCTCAGCACCTCCCTAAGGCTCCCATCCTAGCCTCAGCCTCACTTTCCAGGTCCTCTGCATTCTGGCCCATGAGCCCCTCCTGGCCTTTCTCTCCTGCTTGCTCTCAGCCCCTCTTCTCCACCCCAAGCTGAGTGTCCCCAGGGCAGCACAGTCTGTGACTGGGACAGCCAAGCCCTGGTAGAAGTCAGGGAGGCTGGCAGCACCTGCTCTGGGTACCTGCTCACCTCCTCCGCTCACACCCAGGGGAGATCGTGGTGAAGTGGTTTGAGGCTGTGCAGACCGCCCTGCCCATGTGTGTCCTGGGTGCACTCTTTGGACCAGTCCGCCTCAGAGCTCAGTAAGTTTTCCACTGGTGCCACCAGCTGTGGAGAGGGAGAGAATTTCCAGAAGCCAGGACTCCAGGAAATGGGAGGGGAACAGACAGTGCACAGTTCTGTGGGTGTCCAGGAAGCAAGGGTAGGAAGACTGAGTCCCGAAGGGGAGTTGACCAAAGCTTAGGCTCCACGGTCTCTTGGGCCTCAGGGCTGGGTCAGAGTGACAGGAGTCAGTAGGGCGGCAGGGTGTCTGGAATTACGGAGACCTCTATTTCAGTTCGAGCTTCGACAAGTTTCAGAGTGTGCGGTTTTGGGCCCTGTGCTTCTGTTCTGCTTGAGGCTGAGGGCCAAGTACCTCCAGGCCCAGCCCGCCGGGACCTTACATCGTCTCTTCCCTCTGCTGCCCCACAGGAGCCTGCAAGTGCTGGTCTCCGAGCTGATCCCGTGGGCGGTTCAGAACGGGCGCCGGGCCCCGTGTGTCCTCAACCTATACTACGAGCGGCGCTGGGAGCAGCCCCTGGCGGCCCTGCGGGAGGAACTGGGCATCACGGTGCCCCCTCTGGACATGCGGGTCCTGTCCTAGCCCTGGCCCGCCTCCCTAGGGGTAGAGGGCACTCTGCCCTACCTTTGCTCTTCTCTTTGGACACTGCCCTTTGGATATCTACCATAATTGTCACAACTGCATCCTGTGGCCCTGAGGGCCAAAGCAGGAGGGTGCAACGGGGGCCCGCAGGAGTTGAGACTGCCCAGAGAACCACATGCACCCAGAAACAGCAGTCTGGGAGTACCTGGACTCCACCGGGCCTGCAGACCCTGCGGCCAGGGTTTCCCGGGGGTGAGGCTGGGTGTTCTCCTGGGAGTGAGAGTTACACCCACTGGGGGCTGAGCAAAGAGGAGGCCAGTGCTGTCCAAGTAAAAGCTTCCAAGGGCTGGGGATTTAGCTCAGTGGTTCTGCCGCCTGCTTCAAAAGCGCAAGGTCCCGAGTTCAATCCCTGGTACCAAAAACAAACAAATAAAGGCTTCCATCAGGCCCGATGTCTGCTGATTCTCCTTTGGCGCGGCGCTGCACATAACTAAAGAGCAGAGATTCCCTCACCACCTGCAGCTGCTCGTCCCTCCGCTGCTCTGAAGTTGCTCAGACCAGGATTCAGCTCCCCAGCTCCTCCTCCGTTTTATAGCAGAGAACTGAGGGCAAATCCCTTTCCCTCTGAGTGCAGTTTGATCACCAGCGCAGGGAAGCAGCAGTGCCTGCCTCTTCTTGCTGCTGTGGGGGCTCCCAGAGGTGAGGTGCAGACCAGCTGCAGAGCAAGGCCAAGGAGTTCCATTCCTGCTGCATTTATGGCCGCAGGAAGAGCTGTGAGGCTGCAGTGCATCTTGGAATGGCAAACAGACGGGGACAAGATGTGAGGGCAAGCAGGATGAGCAGTGTCCTTGGAAGAGTGGGTGTCCCTGTCTAGGGATTTTAGGACAGAAAACCCCCTGAGACGGCCAAGCCTCTCCGGCTCCTCATTGTGTGGCCAGGTCAGCTAAGGTCCAGAGGTAGGCAAGGAATTGCCTGGAATAACCAGAACACTGGCCACCAGCCTCCAGGTTGCTTTTCCGATACCTCAGTTTCCCTGTAATAGTGACCGCAGTTTAGCTAGGCCTGTAATCCCAGCACTCTCTGAGGCTGAGGCAGGGAGATTGCAAGTTCAAACCTAGCAGGGGAATTTAGCAAGACTCTGTCTCAAAAACATAAAAAATAAAAAGGGCTCCGGAGATAGGTCAGTGTGAAGGCCCCAGGCCCTGCCTTCCCCGTGCCCACCACATACAGTGCACAGCTTCCAGTGTCAGAGGGAGGCCTCAAGAGGCCACAGGCTGAAAACCTTGGGCTTCTCGAGAGGGGAGCTTTCACAGCCTAGGCCCCGTACAGACCTGCCAGCTGTTGCTGTAACTTCCCAGCACCCAGGCTCCCACCCCCAGTGCAACTCAGTAAAAGGTGTCAAGGTGGGCAGGGGTCAGACCCTTGGGTGGCCCCCTCTACCCTCCTGGATCACTCTCCTGCCCCAGCCATTTGGTCCCCAGATGACCTCAGGCCATAACAGAACGTGCAGGATGGGCACTGGATGTCTGGATTAACTGGGAATAGAATCTGATCTCCTAATCATAGAGTAGCATTTGGATAAAAATAATGCCGGCCATAGCTACCACTGACAGTTCTGACACCGCCGTGAGGCCCTGCCAACTTCCACTGTCCAATCTAGTACACCATGTGTGCCTTCACCCGCTGCCGGAGCGCACACCAGGCTTCCTCCTGCCCCATGCTGAGCTGCCTGTCACATCCGTTCAAACGCTGCCACCTCAGAAGGTCTTCCCTGATGGCAAGGGCTTGGCACTTCATGGCTGAACAGTGAGTGCCAGGCCCCGTGCCAGCGCCCCACACTCGGGACCTCATTTGGTTGCCATCCACAGCAACCTGTAAGTGGAGGCTGATGGTGGCCTCACTTCATGGTGACCCTGGCTCTTGGACTCACGGAAGCACAGCGCCGGAGTTCTTTCCCAGGAGCCTAAGGAGCCACCTTTCCCTTCTGCCTGATAGAAATCATAGGTAGCAGGGCAAGGATGGAAGTGGCTCAGCAGTAGAGAGCTTGCCTGCCATGCGAGAGGCCCTGGGTCCCATCCCCAGCCCCGAAAGAAAAACAATCTTAGGGCCGGGTATTCAGCTCAGTGGTTCCGGTGCCTGCCTTGCAAGCACAAGGACCCGAATTCGATTCCCAGTACAAAAAAAAAGAAAAACAACCTCAGGGAGCTGACACTGGAGCAGCGTTCAAATACCCAGGCTCCAAAAGCAGGACTATCCATGCCACTGAGCAGTGCTTATCACCTTGCCAGCCTCTGTTTCCCCATCTAAAATGGGGAGAGCCTTGGAAGGCTCAGGAAAATGGTGCCTGGTCGGTGCCCATTAGCACACGGTGGCTGTGTAGGAAAAGGCAGCCCGGCCTTTGCCAGGGAGGCTCCTGGAGACCTCTGAAGTCACTATGTGCAAAGTCAGGCAAGCCAGAGGTGCTACTTGCACACACCCAGAGTGGGAGGATTTTTACAGCCCAGCAGCACTCCCAGGCCAAGTAGAAGGGAACATGATGGGGTAAACACCGAAGCACCCCAGAAGCCCGGGGAGACTGAGTGCCTGCCACCAAGTGAGTCTCGGGTCCTGGAGAGCCTCCGGCCCAGACACCGGATCCTTAGTGCCATGCAGCAGGGACCACATGAGGAGAAAAGGAAGAGCCCTTCCCACAAACGACAACCAAGTTCTGCCCTTCTCAAAACTCTCAGTGGCTCGTCACTGCCCTGGGATAAACCCCTCAGCCTGGCACACAGGGCAGGGCCTTTCCACTTCTTCCTAGCTCAGCCCCCCCCATGCGCCCTAATGTGCCCACCAGCCTTCGTAGACCTCTTCAGGGTGTGTGCCAAATGCAGGGGCTGGGCCCTCCAAGTGGAGGGAGACAGCTCCACCCCAGCCCTGGGAGAGGTCAACTGAAGGCCTTCCGTGTCAGCCCCCGCGGAGAGCCTTATGAGAAGCACTTTGGATCTTGATCATGTGTGTGTGTGGCTCCAAGCCACGATAAAAGATACCTCCTTGATCACAGGATTCCCATTTGACAGCTACAGACATTGAGGCTCCATGGGGACAGTCATTTGCTCAGATCTCACAGCTGGGGCCAGTACACCCCAGCCACGCCTGACCGGGGTGCAAAGAAGACAGTAAGGTGTGGAGGGTGCTAAGCCAGGTGTGTCACCAGAAGTACAGTGAGTACTCGGTGCAAGGCCACCTCAGCTAAACTTTACCCACTCTGTCCCGCTGCGCTGAGCGACCTGAAGTCAGACTGCCGTGTTCCTGCTATGTCCCCATCCCTCGCTTCCCACCTCGGGCCTGACCCAGATACTGCCTCAGTGTCACCCATGTGACAAGTGGGGGGGCAGCAGGTGGTTATCACCGCCCCTCCCCAGACCCTACCTGCCCCTACCTGCAAATGACCTTAACAGTTGATTTGGAAACAATCGTGTTTATTTCCATAGTTTCTGGTGTGGATAAAATCAGTCTCCGATTCTTATTCAAATCTCCTTCCATTAGCCAAGGATTCAGCTCAGTGGTTCCACTGCCGGCCTCCGCAAGCTCAAGGACCCGAGTTCTATCCCTGGCACCAAAACAAAAAAACAAACAAACAAATCCCCTTCCATTCATTCAGGATTTTTGGAGCTTGTGCTACTTGCTGAGCCTGTGGATATAATTGGAACTAATGTGTCTAGATTTTTTATCTTTTATATGTTTTGTGGTCAATGAGCCTCTAAGCCACAATAACAAAAACAGCAAGACCCAGGCATGGTGACGCACACCTGGAATCCCAGCTACGTGGGAGACTGAGGCAGGAGGATCACAAGTTCAAGGTCAACCTGGGCAATTTAGATCCTGTCTCAAAAAACTCAGTGCCCTCTGGGTTCAGTCCCCATTACCACAGATTAAATATGTCAAGTGCTATTTCCAACACTCTCTATGAATCTCTGCCAACACTATTAGCATGTTCTGGTTTTGTTTTGTTTTTTTTTTCCTCTCTCTAGTCCTGGGGATTGAACCCAAGGTCTTGTGGAGAGCAGGCAAGAATTCTACCACTGAGCTACATCCTCAGCCTTTTAATATGTAAAAGGGGCGGGTAGCTCACTGGTGGTGCAGCCTGCTTTGCAAGCACAAGGTCCCAAGTTCAATCCCCAGAACCAAAAAGAAAAAAAAAAGAATGGAAGCAGGACATGGTAGTACACACCCGTCATCCCAGCACTCGGGAGCTGAGGCAAGATCACTGAGTTCAAGGCCAGCCTGGGCTACATAGTTCAAGAAGAGCCTAAACCACATAGACTCTGTCTCAAAAAACAAAGCAGAATTTTAAAAAAGAAAGAAATAGAGATTTTGAACTTCCTACCTAGAGTTTGAACCCAGTTGTTGCGTGGTAATGCCCATGCGCATAACCACTGCCCTGTGCTGCCTCCTGAATGTGATACCCCAGAGAAAGTGGTGCTAGACACTCATTACATATTCGATATTTTATTTTATTGATATCTTATTTTCCTACTAAGTGCAAGCTGTGCAATATAGCAAGGTCCTGATAAAATAGGAAGACAGGTGACAAGAACAGACTGCCACACAAGAAAAGAAACTACATGCTGTCAGTGTAAGACGTGTGCATGGGACATGCAGTTGTCATGTGTGAAGACTGCCTTGGGTGTGACAGTTGAAGCAAAACCTATTTTTGTTGTAGAATTCTATTGGTATTTTCACTGTAGTTCATATAGGAATTTATTTATTTGTTTGTTTGGGGTTTTTTTTGAGGGTCTCACTATGTAGTTGAGACTGACCTGGGACTCACTATGTAGCACAGGCTGGTTTTGAACTCACAGCGATCCTCCTGCCTCAGCCTCCCAAGTGCTGGGATTACAGGCATGCACCACCATGCCCAGCCTTTGATGTCTAACAGAAAGGCCAGGAAAGCAAAACATATTTGCTATCAGTGTAAGCAATAAGTGTGTGTGGAATGTGCTGTTGTTATGTGTGAAGTCTCCCTTAGGTATGATAATTGAAGTAAAAACTTTTTTTGTCGAGTTCTATTGGTATTTTCATTGTAATTCATGTAAGAATTTATTTCTGTTATTTTTCAGACTTTGTACACCAAAAAACAGTCAATGTTGAAAATTTTGATGCTTTTTAAATAAACACAATAGATACTGAAAATTCGGTAC